CACACATGCACATGCACACATGTACACATACTCACACACACTCACATACACACATGTACATACACACATGTACATACTCACGTGTACACACACGTATACACACGCACACCGAGACACCACGCTCTCATCTGTAGCATGTGTACACACACACACACACACACACACACACACACACACACACACACACACACACACACACACACAAACACACACACACACAAACACACACACACACACACACACACACAAACACACACACACACACAAACACACACACACACACACACACACACACACACACACACACACACACACACACACACACACACACACACACACACAAACAAACAAACAAACATGCAAACAAACAAAACCAAACACACACCCATGGCTAACACACGCAAACAAACAGACACAACACACATATACACAAACACACAATTAAAAACAAACACAAATATTGAAGTGACAACAAAGTCCATCTAAGAATTAACATGATAACCTTGCATTCAATTAAAGACAAGTTTTAAGGACATTTAAGTGTTCATAAGCATTTTTATTTTTCAAGATTTACGAAAAAAAATCAATAAAATCACGTCGATGGGTTACGGTACTTCATATATTTATCAATATATCTATCTATCTATCTGTCTGTTTGTCTGTTTATCTATCTATCTATCTGTTCATCTATCTATCTATCTATCTATCTATCTGACTGTTTATCAATATATCTATCTATCTATCCATCTGATTGTCTGTTTACCTATCTATCTATCTGTTTATCTATCTATCTATCTATCTATCTATCCGACTGTTTATCTATCTATCTATATTATTTGTCTGTTTATTTATCTATCTGTCTGTTTATTTATCTATCTATCTATATATCTATCTGTCTGTTTATCTATCTATCTAACTATCTATCTATCTGTCTGTTTATCTATCTCTCTATCTCTCTATCTATCTGTATGTCTGTTTATTTATCTAACTATCTGTATGTCTGTTTATCTATCTATCTATCTGTTTATCTATCTATCTATTTATTTGTATGTCTGTTTATCTATCTATCTATCTGTTTATCTATATATCTATCTATCTGTATGTCTGTTTATCTATCTATCGATCTATCTATCTATCTGTTTATCTATCTATCTAAGTATCTATCAATCTATCTGACTGTCTGTTTATCTTTCTATCTATCTGTTTATCTATCTATCTATTTATCTATATATCTGTTTATCTATCTATCTATCTATCTATCTATTCTACTTCCCTCCTGCAATCTCGTGATCTCCTCCTCCTGCTCCTGCCCCTCCCCCCTCTTCCTTCTCCTTCGTTTCCTCCCCTTCTTTCTTCTCCTCCTCCTTCTCTTCCTCCTCCTCCCCCTCTTCTTCTTCCTCTCCCACATCCCCATCCGCTTCCTCTTCCTCTTCCTCCTCTTCATCCTTGTACTCCTCCTCCTCTTCTTCCTCTTCCTTCTCCTCCTCCTCCTCCTTCTCCCCTTTCTCCCCTTTCTCCTCTTCTTCCTCCTCCTCCTCCTCCTCTTCCTCCTCCTCCTTTTCCTCCTTTTCCTTCTCCTCTTCTTCCTCCTCCTCCTCCTCCTCCTCCTCCTCCTCCTCCTACCTCTTCTTCCTTTTTCTTCATCTCCTCTTCCTCCTCCTCCTACTTCTCGTCCTCCTATTTCTATCTCTCCTTCATAATCCTTCACGTTCCTCCTCTTCCTCCTCCCCCTCTTCCCCCTACCTCCCCCTCCTACCTCCTCCTCCTCCTCCTCGAACATTTACACCACCTCCTCCCCCTACCTCCTCCTCCTCCTCCTCTTCATTCTCTTCCTACCTCCTCCTCCTCCTCCTCTCCCTTCTCCTCTTCTTCCTCCTCCTCCTTCCTCCTCCTCCTTCTCTTCCTCCTCCTCTTCTCCTCCTCCTTCTCCTCGAACATTTACACCACCTCCTCCCCCTACCTCCTCCTCCTCCTCCTCCTCTCAATCGTGCCTGTCAACCTCCCCCACCTCCTTCTCCTCCTCCTCCTCTTCTTCCTCCTCCTCCTCCTACCTCCTCCTCCTCCCACCTCCTCCTCCTCCTCCTCCTCCCTCCTCCTCCCCTCCTCCCTCCTACCTCCTACTTCCCCCTCCTCCCTCCTCCTCGAACATTTACACCACCTCCAAGTTACACACCTCCTCCTCCTACCTCCTCCTCCTCCTTGACCTCCTTCTCCTCCTCCTTGACCTCCTCCTCCCACCTCCTCCTCCTCCCTCCTCCTCCTCCTCCTCCTACCTCCTCCTCCCTCCTACCTCCTCCTCCTCCTCCTCCTCCTCCCACCTCCTCCTACCTCCTCCTCCTCCTCCTCCTCCTCCTCCTCCTCCCACCTCCTCCTACCTCCTCCTCCTCCTCCTCCTCCTCCTCCTCCCACCTCCTCCTACCTCCTCCTCCTCCTCCTCCTCCTCCTCCTCCTCCTCCTCCTCCCTCTCACACCACACCCGAAAACTAAGGCCTGTACTCACCTCCTTTGATGTCATTGTTCGCGTTCTCGTCCGTCTTGGCGAAGTCAGGATCGTCGATGTCAAAGATGATGGAGTCCTCGTAGAACATGACGTCGGCCATGACAGGTGGAGGACGAGGTGTGGCTGGAGGACGAGCTTGAAGGACGAGGTTTTGGTTGCGGGGGGGTCGCGCGCGCACGCACCGGGACAGGTTCTTACGTCGGTGATGTATGTGTATATTATTTACTTTTTTTTCTTGTTTATTTTCTTGGTTATTTGTGTATTTTCTTGAAGGGGGGGTGGGGGTTCTTTTGGTGTGTGATTCGATTTGGATGAATTGTTATTGTAATGACCTTTTTTATTGTTATTATTACTGATGTTATTGTTATTGTTATTGTTATTATCACGAGAGTAAAAAATACGAAATCCGTCAGGCGTGCGTTATCTCTGGCGGCGAAGGCGGTGGTGTCTTTCCTAAGCGGGAGATGGCGGGAAACTGGCGCCGAGGGGGGGAGGTGGACGAAAGACTTGGCTCCCACACGCCCAGCGAGGCCATTCACGGCCCCTTCCCCTTCCCCCTTTCTCTCCTCTCCCCCTCCCCTCCCCTCTTCTTCTCTCCCCTCCCCTTCCCATGCCCCTTACGCCCTACCCCTACCCCTATCCCTCTCCCTTTCTCCTCCCTCTTCCTCTCCCTCTGTCATGCCCCCTTGTCTATACCCCTTACCCTTCGTCTCTCTTTCACTCCCTTTGCCCCTTCCCCTTTCTCTCCCTTTCCCTCTTCCTCCTTCCCCTTCCCCTCCCTCCCCCTCCCCCTCCTCCTCCCCCTTCCCCTTCCCCTCCCCTCCCTACGAAGACATAGACACAGACACAAACAAACTCTTCTGTCACATGGCAAATCAGAGGATCTCCCGTCCCCCCCCTTTCTCTTCCTCCTCCGTCATACGAACAGACAGACACAGACACAATGTTTCTTGTAATTATTTCCCTATCCCTTGGGGCCTTATTGGATACAGACAGAACACAGACATATTTTCCTATCACACACACACACATACATACACACATATATACACACATACACACACACACACACACACACACATACATACACACATATATACACACATACACACACACACACACACACACACACACACACACACACACACACACACACACACACACACACACACACACACCAGACACAGAGGCAGATACATACTGTCACACGCCAAATCTGCACCTCCCCCTCCATATCCTCCTCCCCCTCCTCTTCTTCTTCCTCTTCATCTTCTTCTTCTTCTTCTTCTTCTTCTTCTTCTTCTTCTTCTTCTTCTTCTTCTTCTTCTTCTTCTTCTTCTTCTTCTTCTTCTTCTTCTTCTTCTTCTTCTTCTTCTTCTTCCTCCTCCTCCTTCTCCTCCTCCTCTAGGAACACACATGTACACACACACACACACACACACACACACACACACACACACACACACACACACACACACACACACACACACACACACACACACACACACACACACATCCCCCCCACCCCACCCCGTCACTTGCCAAATCCATCATCTCGTCTATTCCTTTCTCTCTATTTACGTTTTATGGGTTTGGAAGAGAGTAAGAGGAATTAGCAATAACAGTGAAATAAAAAAGGAAAAGGGAGTAATTAAAGAGAGAAGGAATAATGATGGAAGAAAGGGGGAATGATGATAAAGGATACTAGGAATGATAATGAAAGAAATAAGGAATGATAAAGAATTAAGAAATATGGACGAAGGAAATGTAAATGATAAGATAAATAAATAATAAATATGAAAGGAATAAGTATTAACAATAAAGAAATAAAGAATAATAATTAAATAAATAGATAATAAGTATGAAAGAAATAAAAAGAATGAGAATGAAAGAAACCAAAAATGAGAATGAAATAGATAAAAAATCAAGACGAAAGAAATACAGAAAAAAAAACAATGAGAGAAATATAAGAACAATGAAACACAAAATAAAATAAAAAAAACAACGAAGAAAAATTTAAAACAAGGAAGAAAGAAAAAAAGGAAAGAATGAAAGCGAGAGACGCAAGGGATGATAACGATAAAAGGAATCTATTTTCTGTCGAAGGATGCGCACCTTGGCGGCAATGATCCACTTTGTCAAGGTGATTCAGCCAAGGTTTTTGTGACCAGCCATTCACTCGTTCGCCTACCTGGGTTCCCGACGCCCGCGGATGGTGCCTTATCATTTGCAATTCCTGCTTCATTAATCGTTTATATTAGTTTCTCTTCCCTTCTATTTATTTATTTTTTTCTTCGTGCAACGGCGGCCTTCTGTGTGTCTCTCTTGTTACTTTTTTCTTTTTTTCTAGTTTCCTGTGATTTTGTTGGTTTCTTTCTCTCGTGTTTTTTTTAAGGTTCTTTCTTAGGATTTTTGTTTACTTCGGTCTCTTCTCTTATTCCTCTTCCTTACCCGGTTTTAGGACTTCTTTCATCCGTCTCCCGATCTCTTAGGAGAGTCCCGAAAATCCTTCGGCCCTCTCCTATCCCCTCTTCTAAGACCTTTCCCCTCCTTGCCCCTGCCCCTAATATCTTTTCACTCCCTACTCCTGTCCCTAATACCTTCTTCACTCTGTCCCTGCCCCTAATACCTTCTGTCTATCCCTGCCCCTAATATCTTTTCACTCCCTACTCCTGTCCCTAATACCTTCTTCTCTCGATCCCTACCCCCAATACCTTTTCCCTCCCTACCCTTGCCCCTAATACCTTCTCCTCTCTATCCCATCCCTATTGCCCCCCCCCTCCCCCCTTGCCTCCTCCACCCCATGCCCCAGTCGCATCCCCATCCCCCGGCCAAACCACCCTCTCCATTCATAATATCCAGCGCTACTACCTACGCATCAACCCCATTCATAACACGGGTCTCAGAACTGTTACTTTTACTCTCCGGTATCAGCTGATCTGCCATTCATAGCTGGTCACACGTGGACCCAGTTACTACACTCGTCATTCTGGCTGGTTCCTATTCATTCATAACTGCTGGGTATCGAACCTCTATCTCGGCTAGTACTAATAAGAATAGTAATCTCACATTCATGCTTACCCCTCCATGAATATTAAACGTTTAATTACCTAACAACGGAAAACATTATTGATGCTTTTAACCGTAATCATGTTAACAGATTTAGAAAAGGTATGAATGAGAATAAACACCTTCAATAATACAAGAGATTATTTAACCAGTTTCGAATATATCTTCGTCAGATTAAAGATCTATTCGAAACCGGTTTAAATACATCTCTTGTGCTGTTGAAGATATACATTCCCACTTATACCTTTTTCTACGATGGCGACCTTTCTCACCACTTGTACTTGTAACCTTGAAACTCCCCACGTATCATATTCGTTCGTACATTCCTGTCGAACGCTCTTGTTATTTACTCTTTTCTGAACTCGACTGTAAGTTAATGTTCTTAAAATAGTTTAATCTTCCGTATCGAGTTTGTCCCATAGCCTAGCATTCAAATCTTACGTAAAAAAAAAAAAAAATGCAACGTTCTTATCTGTCTATTTTGTGACTCTGACCATGGCTTAATGTTCGTGCCTTACAATAGTAATTTAGTGTTCTTATCTTAACATAGTTCTATACACCCGGATATTGCAGTGCTGTGTGGATGTTGCTTCTGTCCTCTTTAAAGTACACAAGAGACTCGCATGTATTTGTGGGTGTCACTTTTCCAGCGAAGAGAAAAAAGAGACAGATGTAGATGAGAGAGAGAGGGAGGGAGGGAGGGAGGGAAGGGGGAAGGTAGGGAGGGAGGGATTGGGGGAGGGAAGGAGGGAGGGAGGTAGGGAATAATGGAGGGAAGGAGGGAGGAGAGAGAGAGAGAGAGAGAGATGAGATGGGATGAGATAAATAGACAGACTGATAGATAGAGAGAGAATGAGAGAAGGTCAGAGACTGAGAGGAGAGGGAAAGAAATAGAGAGGAGACAACGGAGAAGAGGAGAGAGAGGGAGAAGAGAGAGAGAGAGAGAGAGAGAGAGGAAGAGAAAGAAATAGAGAGGAGACAGCGGAAAAGAGGAGAGAGAGGGGGGAAGAGAGAAAGAGGGAGAGGGATAGAGAGAGAGAGAGAGAGAGAGAAAGAGAGAGAGAGAGAGAGAGAGAGAGAGAGAGAGAGAGAGAGACAGACAGACAGACAGACAGAAAGAGAGAGAAAGAGAAAAAGAGAGAGAGAGAGAGAAAGAAAGAAAAAGAAAAAGAGACAGAGAGACAAAAAACAAAAACAAAAACAGTTACAGAAAGAAAGCAGAGAAAGACAACAGACAACCAGACAAAGAAACAAACAAAAACGAAGGTCAGTGCACATGTACATATTACGAGGCGGGTGTGAATCAAGAAAATGAAAGCGTCATGTCAGAGAGAGAAGCCGAGGAGCCAATGGAGATGAGTCGACGAAAAGGAATCAAGTGAAATGAAGATAAAAGCGAGAGAAGTGAGTCCCAACAATTTGGGAAAAGGTCAAAGAGTGAGAGGAAAGAGAGAGAGAGAGAGAGAGAGAGAGAGAGAGAGAGAGAGAGAGAGAGAGAGAGAGAGAGAGAGAGAGAGATGAGAGGAGAGAGAGAGAGAGAGAGAGAGAGATGAGAGAGAGAGAGAGATGAGAGGAGAGAGAGAGAGAGAGAGAGAGAGAGAGAGAGAGAGAGAGAGAGAGAGAGAGAGAGAGAGAGAGAGAGAGAGAGAGAGGGAGGGAGGGAGCGAGGAGACTGTGAGAGGAGAGGAGAGAGAGAGAGAGTGAGAGGAAAGAGAGAGAGAGTGAGAGACAGAGAGGTGACTGTGAGAGGAGAGAGAGAGAGAGATTGAGAGGAAAGAGAGAGAGAGAGAGAGAGAGAGGAGACTGTGAGAGGAGAGGAGAGAGAGAGAGAGAGTGAGAGGAAAGAGAGAGAGAATGAGAGAGAGAGAGAGACAGAGAGGAGACTGTGAGAGGAGAGGAGAGAGAAAAAGAGTGAGAGGAAAGAGAGAGAGATAGAGAGAGAGACAGAGAGAAGGCAGTGAGAGAAGAGGAGAGGGAGAGAGAGAGTGAGAGGAAAGAGAGAGAGAAACAGAGAGGAGAGAGAGAAATAGAGAGGAGGCTATGGGAGGAGAGGAAAGAGAGAGATAGAGAAGACAGTGAGAAGAGAAGAGAGAGAGAGAGAGGAG